GGGGAAGAAAAGAGGAGAAGAAAGACCACTGCGATAGGTCATGGCGTGGAGGGGTGGAGCTAGGCCCAAGCTGTAAATAGAGACATTTCGTTCATACCATGTGGCGTCAATGTGCCATAGGTCAGGATTTGACCAAAAAAAGCTACACACCTGTGTGCATCAGCTATTTCATCTCTCTGACCTCGAGACATTCACGAACATTAGTTAATATACTATGTAGGGTAGGGTCAGTCGACTTTCGGTTTGCAGGCAAAGTGGGGTGTTACTATGTCATGGGATAAGAACATCAGTAAGGTATTGGTTTAAACCGATTGGACAGTGAACCATTCATCCTCCCACGTGGATCACAATGGTATCTTTCACAAGGCTACGAGGCTAGCAGGGGGGGGGGGGAAAAACGTTGACCCTTTCTTGTGAGGCGAGACTACAATTCTCCGGAGGAAACCGTCATGGGATAAGAACATCAGTAAGGTATTGGTTTAAACCGATTGGACAGTGAACCATTCATCCTCCCACGTGGATCACAATGGTATCTTTCACAAGGCTACGAGGCTAGCAGGGGGGGGGGGATAACGTTGACCCTTTCTTGTGAGTCGAGACTACACATCTCCCGAGTAAACCGGTAGAGCCAGAAACTGAGGCCAGATTTTGAGCCGCCACCTTTGAAAACCTCTAAGTTCCCCATTTGATGCCGGCAACTCAGCAGGTTGCAACGCGGTACTTGCTATGTTTTGATCCACCAATGAAAAAAAATATATATATAATGGCTCCCGAGTAAACCGGTTGAAGACATCATCAGTGGAAGGACTTATAACTTTGATGAAAATATTAAAACACTTGAATAAGGGGTACAAATCAAATGTAAATGTATTATGTTTTCACATGGAAATGTTGCTACCTTTTATATATACCGGGTAAATAAAGATTTTATTTGCATGTCTTGAATAACGCGTGATTCAAGCCACGTGACAAATATACCATGTGTGAGTCATGTGACAGAAATAAGATCTGTGATTCATGTGATATAAATAAGATATGTGAGTCATGTGATAGAAATAACGTGTGTGAGTCATGTGACAGAAATAACATGTGCGAGTCATGTGACAGAAATAATATGTGTGAGTCATGTGACAGAAATAACGTGTGTGAGTCATGGCACAGAAATAACATGTGCGAGTCATGTGACAGAAATAACATGTGTGAGTCATGTGTCAGAAATAGCATGTGTGGGTCATGTGACAGAAATAACATGTGTGAGTCATGTGACAGAAATAACATGTGTGAGTCATGTGACAGAAATAAGATGTGTGAGTCATGTGACAGAAATAACATCTTGGGCATGCTACTAGAAAACCTTACCCGAAAAACAACGACCATCTTATAAATGGAAAAATGGATTTTCGATATTGCAGTAACCATTGATATAAAGTTAAACTGTATTCAGTTCTTCACTATTATGTATATTTATTTTTAATTTAGGTTAAATAGTTCTTGAGATGTGAATTTTGTTGTTATAATGGGGTGTATCATAATTTACCACACACACACACACAAAATCATTTTACTTTTTCATGAATTAATTATTTTACGACAACGATGACCTCCCCAATAAAAATTTTTAAAAGACAATGATCAGTCCTTTTGAACATGGCGGCTTCCATAGATATAAACAGAACATTTTTTTTGCGACTATAAAAATTGTATTTTTACAAAATAATTTGTTTATACAATGCCTAGTGATAACAAATTTTCAGTACACTCAAAGAAACGAGCGTTTTATGGAAATAGATATACTAAACGTAATATTGGACTCGATAAGGATATTTTAATATAAATCATGCCACTAGCATATTTTCTGAGTTCTACTCTTCCATGAATTTGATTCAGTTTCCCATTCCATTGCTGTTAAATCCTTGAAATTGAAGATGAAATATTATATAATCCTATTAACACTTGTCTAAAATACCCAAGTGTGTGGCACCCAGTGCCACGCCCACCAAGAACAGGTTAGAAATTAAATTGAAAGACATCTACAGAATAAATTATTCGGCTGATTCTTAGAAGTAAACGAATAATTTACCAATTATTCATATTCTCATTCAGTATGATTCAGGTTAAAGTTAAAGTGAAGGTTAAGAAGACATTGTACAATCATTTTTAAAATCATTTCATTAAATTTAATGATTGTAATAACTGAATGTGAATCAGTAGAGCCTTTTTTTACAGACTTTTACCAGGCAATCATTTTTAGTAAATATCTAGATGGTTATACCCACAATGCAAACTAATCAATGATAGTATTATATTGAAAATGTGCCCTAAGCTCTAAGAACAACTATCATGGTTTAAATAAGAGCTTTCAACATTGGTTTGTCTATTAGGCAACCATTCTTTTCAATGATAGATCCAAAGTATAGAATAGGAGGCTCCTCTAAGATTTTAGCTGCACTGTGGTCAGTTTACATTCGACTATTTCATTACCGCGGAATTGGATATCCAAACCACAAAAACAAATGACTAAGTCCTTAGAAGCTAGAAGAACCAGAAGAAGGCAGAAATTAGGGTTAAAAGTTGAAGCTAAAAGACATCCTTATCTTTCAGGGGTCATTAAGATAAGATACAAAAATTTATTAACAAAATTATAGTTAGCTTATTCACAAAATTTTGACGTTTAGATCACATGATTAATGATAACTTTTTTAAATATCAACCAATTTGTTTAAAATTTTGCATTATATATAATATCATTGTCTATAGCATGAACTAAACATATTACAATATATGGCACTCCTCAGAACAGCATTCCCAAATGTCAAATAGAATACTATATGTTAGAAAGTGCCCAGTTACCAACCTATCAGCTGCTGATAATTGGTGACATTATTGTTAACTTCTAATTTTGTTTGCAGTAAATTTGCAGACTGATTTTTGCTTGTCATAAGATAAAATTAAAAAATACAATGGCCTGCAGACGGCAAACGCCGTTTCTAATTTCTGGAAGCTTTCTGCAAGCTCATGACACAACATCGAAGGCACTATATCACTGTATGACAAAATGCTTTGACTTTAGTTAGTTAGTGCGGCTTACAAAACACCATTTAATATGAAACAGCAATTCAACAGAGATAACTTTTGTTTTCCTTTTGCATTTTTCCTTTTTTTCTTTCTTCTGCTTTTTTCTTTCTTCTGCTTTTTTCTTTCTTCTGCTTTTTTCTTTCTTCTGCTTTTTTCTTTCTTCTGCTTTTTTCTTTCTTCTGCTTTTTTCTTTCTTCTGCTTTTTTCTTTTTCTTTTAGGAGATGTTGATGAAGATGAAGAAGATGATGAAAATCGCAATCTTCAATACTATGCATAAATTTAAATAGGCCATTAGATGTAAATAATTTGCGACACAGTAATCAGCGACTATAGGCTGGCAGCCATGATTTATACTGAAAAGTATTTAATTGACATTTGGGACAGCCATTCTGAGGCGTGCCGAATATATTAATAAGTAGAAATTTTACAATCCCTCCAAGTTTGAATGGAAAATGTCAAAATTAAGATATATTTCAGATGCTGTGATACAAAACGTATTCAATATATTGCATTTTTCTTAGTCCATATTTCTATGTGGTTAATAAAGTATATTTGAGCTTAAAACTTCTTTAAACAATTTTCTGCCAATGTTCAGCATGACATTGTCTTCTTTTTTTTTGTTTTAATGGAAGCAAACTATTATTATTTCCTGCATTTGTTGCTGGTTGTGGGACAAAAGTGCAATGACATCTGCAAAGTCTAGGTCATTCAGTTGTTCCCAGAGTGTCCACTGTATCCCGTTCCTCTTTTTATCTGTGGAATTTTTCATTATCCAGTCAATGAGGAGCATGAATAGGAAGGGGGACAACAGACTTCCTTGTCTGGCTTCAGTTTCCACTTTAAGTGAGTCTACCTTCGTGGACCACGCTGCATGTCATTTCTTCATAAGAACTCTGAATGATTCTGACTATTTTTTCCTGGTTCTCCATAGTGCCGAAGAAGTTTTCACAAGGTTGGTTGGTCCAGGTTATCAAAGGCCTTTTTGTAGTCTTTAAAATATATATAAAGGGGGAGTTCCATTCGATGGACTCATCTACAATGATTCTGAATGTTGCAATTTGATCTACGCATGATCTGTTTCGACGGAAGCGAGACTGTTGATCTCGTAGTTGCATGTTGACCTGGTCTCTCATTCTATTCAGAATAATTCTGTTAAAGACCTTTCCTGGTACAGACAGCAGTGTGATTCCTCTGTAATTTGCAAAATTGCTGAGGTCTCCTTTCTTTGGTATCTTGATGAGGTATCCTTTCCAATCTGTTGGAACTCTCTCTTCTTCCCATATCTTTTCAAACAGAGGGTGCAGCATATTGATTATTGTAACTATATCAGCTCTCATCATCTCTGCTGTGATTTTATACGGTCCCGGTGATTTCCCTAATTTGAGCTGCTTGATGGCCAGAGCTATTTCTTCCTTATTTGGTGCACTTTCTTCTATTTGTAAGTTTTCATTTGCTGGTTGTATGTCTAGTGTGTCTGTGGGTGGGGGTCTTTTTAATAGTTCCTCAAGGTATTTCACCCATCTTCTTTTTTTCTTTTTTTGAATCTGAGTGTACCTCCCCCCTTAAATAGTTTTCCTGTTCCATCACAGGTCTGGGGAGCAGGAAGAAAAGCAGAGTGGCGCGAATGACAGGCTGTCAGTGTAAGTTCTTAGGGCCGGCAATTTTTAAGTATTATTGTTAATTTCATTTTGTATTTGAAGGGGTTTGAGGGGCTGTGGTAGTGGTGGTGATGGTGGTAGTGGTGGTGATGGGGACCAGTGGTAGTAGTGGTGGCGGTGGTAGTGATGGGGTGGTGGTGGTAGAGGTGATGGGGTGGCTGGTTGTGGTATATTAGATCTGTATTTATTTATCGGCACCATATGATTGTTGAATGAACTCTTAAGATTATGAGGTGCTGACAATCCTAATCTTCATCTATAAGCAGATTGCGAACTTCAAAGTCCTCAAGCAAGGTCTCGCCACCCCTCAAAGAAGGCAGCATTATTGAGTAAGTTGCCAAAAAACGGAAGGCTACAAATGACCACATCCAGGGATTCTTTCAGATAATAATTTTTCTCGGAAAAAATTGTGTATGTGTGTGGGAGGTTGGCATCTATCATCGTCAAAAAGGGGAACTATGGTGACCAGGGCAAGCTCTGACTCCTGCGGCCCCCACCCCAAACCTTGCCCTTAATAAACTAATTTCATTTAAACAGTTTAGTTTTAAATGGATAAAAAAAGTGGGCCCATACTGTACTTTTTTCAAGGCCTATCCAACCCCACCCATACTATACTTTGTTAAAGCCCTCAGCTCAGCCCATATGTTACTGTACTTTGTTAAAGCCCTCAGCTCAGCCCATATGTTACTGTACTTTGTTAAAGCCCTCAGCTCAGCCCATATGTTACTGTACTTTGTTGAAGCCTCGCCCCCTTAATTTTTTGTGTGGATAAATTCAAAATTCAGTGACGCATTTAGATGCATTTTTAGTGACGTGGGGAGGGGGGGGGAGGGTGTTTCCTTCAAAGAACATCAGAAAATATGCTAGCGGACGTTAAGTCTTTAATCGGAGAACAACAGAAAATTAGCTAGTGGAAGGGTTGACATGTATAACGCAGCTCGTTATAAGTAGAAGACTATAATACAACCTTCATCCACAAAGTTCTCTCAACAACTGCCCAACGAACAGTGCTGTACACCAAAGACAGACTATAGATGCTGTGTCACAATTGCAATAAAAACATGTCACTGTATGTCACAACCTTAAAAGCCAGCGTTAATTAACTAAATTGACACACAAAACACACTGTGCAGACTAAAACACAAAATACGGTACGCAACAATCACTAGTGAGCACCAATACTCCACAGACCCCTAGACATGGAAAAGAAAGTTACAGTGGCAAAATCCAACAACAGGTTTAACATTTCTTCTTTTTGCAAATAATATTGCTTTCCAACATTAACACTGAGGTCAAACAATTTCCTATTACTTAAAAATATAAATTGCGAGGGGAAAAAATTGTGTGACTGGGGGGGGGGGGGGGGGGGGGGGCCTGCTTTCTGTTAAAAAATGTTCACTGATCCATTAAAATCCCTGTTTTCAATTTTAAATCTGTTGCTCTTGTCAAGTTCAGTTGAACTCTTTCGGCTTTTATTTTATTCCCATTAAAAATTTGAACGATACTGCATTGTTTCGGGTATTGGCTGCACCTGATAATAAGCCACACCACAAAAGCTTGGTGCTATTTAAAATGGATTTGGAGGGGGGGGGGGGTGCCGGCAAAGCTCGGATTGATACAGTAGATTAATTTTATGTTGTAAATTGTATAATCATTAAGAAAAATGTGCATTTTTGTTGAATAAACTTTTGCCGTTGCTGACTAACAGCTCTTCCCATCCATTCCCCAGCCCCCCCCCAAATGGGGGGGGGGGGTGCCGGCAAAGCTCGGATTGATACAGTAGATTAATTTTATGTTGTAAATTGTATAATCATTAAGAAAAATGTGCATTGTTGTTGAATAAACTTTTGCCGTTGCTGACTAACAGCTTCTGCCATCCCATCCCCAGCCCGCCCCCAAAACTCTTAACATCTAGGACTGAAAAGCAGGAAGTACCCGAAGATAACGTGGACGGCGAAAGTGAACAGAAGGTACACAAGGGATCGGTCATAGCGCTAGAGCGTCGAGCCGAGGAGCTGGGTAATTGAAATTAGAATTGTAAAATTTAATGGTTCAAGAATCTAGAGGAAGTGATGCAATTTGTCAGACAAAATTATTGAAACCTTACGCCTCATTCCTTTCAAAAGAAAATCTCGTACTAAAGTCCCACAAATTGGTCATACAAGACTTCAAAAGATCTCTTGAAAAAGTCAGCCTTCTCTGTGTCTATCTGATACCATAAATATTTTTAACCATTAATTTATAGAATTGAAATAATAAAATGCATTCAAATACCAACATGATAATTTCTTATTCTTGTCTTCAGTTTTTCCTTTGCGAGAACCCCTGCCATTATATTTTATATTTTAGTGTTTTTTTTAAGGTTAGCCATAAATAATTGTGTTTTTTTTTCCATCCACAGCCAAGTTTGCAGCCATGAATAAGTATACCAAAAATGCCCGGGCATCTCTATTCTTTCAGCAAATCAAAGCCATTCTCATCAAACGGGCGACACTGTTCAGACGAAGCATAATATCCTCACTGATCATGTTACTCTTGCCGTCTGCTATGACCATTCTGGGCATCAAAGTTGACATGCTAGCCGATAAACTTAAACTCTCAGACCCGATGGGCTTCTCCCTCGACCGTTTCACTGACCTTATCGTTCCTATTTTTATCAGCCCCACCGGTTCTCAAAAGATGAAGGATGCGTACAAGAATCAGTTCTCGTCATCCCCAGGCGTAACTTTTCGGGAGTCGGATGCGACAGATGTAAATATTAAACCTTTAAATCAAACAGTCTGGTGTTTTAGATATAAATAGTATACCTTGCAACCAATGTCATATTTTGTTAGATATAAATAGTATGCTTTTCAACCAACGTCCTAGTGTGTTAGATAAAAATAGTATACCTTGCAACCAATGATATATTTTGTTAGATATAAATAGTTCACAAAACAACCAATGTCCTATTTAGCAGGATACAAATAGCATACCTTTCAATCTTCAACAGATGTCCTGTTGTCTTGGCCGTACAGAATTCATTGATTATCAAATACAGACTGAGTTAACCGATTACCAATTACAGAAAGAATTCACTGATTACCAAATACACAGTTCACTTATTACCAAATACCCAGTACAGACATAACTCACCGATTACCAAAAACAGACAGAATTCACTGATTGTCAAATACAGACATAACTCACCAATTATCAAATACAGACAGAATTCACTGATTACCCAATACAGACAGAATTCACTGATTGCCTAATACAGACATAACTCACCGATTACCAAGCACAGACAGAATTGACTAATTATCAAGCACAAACAGAATTCACCAATTACCCAATACAGACATAATTCACAGACTACTGTAACTGTTTCATGATCCAAGCCAGAACAAGTCAACCAGTACCTATTAAAACTCGGAAAGGAAATAACCAAAGTCAAATACGACGACAAAGTGATTGTTGGTGTTGTGATCAACGCCTCGTCCTACACAACCGTGTTCCACCAGACTGCTTTGCATGGCATTGGCATCTCTGTGAGTAGTGACTTGGCATCTCTGTGAGTAGTGGAATTTTAGCGGTGTCTCAACATTGACGTGAATGAGATTCCTTTCCCTCTGGCTGAATTTAAAATCAAGGAAGGGTGTGTGTGCATTAGGTATTTTCACCATCACTTGCAACAACAAAAAATAAAAAGGGCACTCATTGTTTTGGAGGGCATTGGTTTCAAACTTTTTAAAACAATGAAATTCCCTTTAATTTTATATTTTTTAAAATTTACTAATGCTTNCCCCCCCCCCCCCCATTTAAAAAAAAAAATGTCCTTTATCCGACCCATCCCTAAAAAAGTATTAACAAATAGATTAGCTAAAGAAAGCAAATAAAGCTGGTCACGTCTTAAGCTTGTATTTTGTTTATTGAACAAGTTATTCCATTTTCTTTTCTTCTTTTACAAAAACAAATGGATATACAAATGTTAAATGTACTGCTATATATTGAAAATAGCTTCTCGTAAACCAGTGGCTCTCAACCTTCCCAATACCGAGACCCTTTACACAGTTCCTCATATTGTGGCGGCCCCCAAACACAAAAATATTTTCGTTGCTTCTTCTTAACTGTAGATTATATGTGTTTTCCGATGGTCTTATGTGACCCCTGGGAAAGGTTCGTTCGACCCCCAAAGGGGTCGCGACCCTCAGGTTGAGAACCGCTGTCGTAAACTAACAGATGTAATAAGAAAAATGTCAGCATTTTTTGGGCATTTTCAACAATTATCAATAAAAAATGTACGCACCCCAAAGCGGTCCGCCGTGTACCCTCTAGATAGAGGTTGGGAACCACTGACATAGGGGATTCAGGCCATGACCTTGATAAGGGTAACATCATTGTCTCAATAGTATATCACAGCACTGACATCATTGTCTCAATAGTATATTTATTTATTTAGGCATTTTTATATAGCGCTTACCTTAAATCTCTAAGCGCTTTACAATTATTGAAAACATGTAAACTAACCAAAATAAAAATGAGACATTAGGATAGTAACTACTATACTATAGAAACAATTAAAATGGCTATAAAACGAGGACACTTTGGCACGTTTTGGCCTAAATTACAGGATTAACCCGAGACAGAAAATGAGGCAGGGCAAGGAGGGTGCATCACAGGTCATAGGCGGACCTAAACAGATGGGTTTTAAGGGACTTTTTAAAAGTGGACGAGGTTTCACAATGACGGATATGGAAGGGGAGCTGGTTCCAGAACGTGGGCCCATGGAAGTAGAAGGAGCGTTCACCGATGGTCTTAGTTTTGGTTCTTGGGATTGAGAGGGTTCTATTGTCAATGGAAGAGCGTAGTTGTCTTGTGGGGATGTAAGGAAGCAACAGTTCAGAGAGATAGACAGGAAAGTGAGGGTCAGTGAACGAGTTGAAGCATAGATTGGCAGACTTGTACTTGATGCGAGAGGATATTGGAAGCCAGTGGAGTTGCCGCATGTGTGGTTGAATGTGGTCATGTTTCTTTGATTTAAAAATGAGTCTGCATGCTGAGTTCTGTGCCTTCTGAAGTTTGTCTATGTGGTGTTGAGGAATGCCTGCGAGAAGAGTGTTACAGTAGTCAAATTTTGAAAGAATGAGTGAAGAGACAAGAGTTTTTGTGGCGTCAAAGGAGAGGAGGTGTCTAATGGTGCTGATTTTTCTAATTTCGTTATATGCTGATCTACATATATTCATGACATGTTTGTTCATGGAGAGGGTTCTGTAAGCGTGACTCCAAGGTTTCTGGCAGAGGGAGAGAGTGTGATGTCAGAGTTGCAAATAGATATAGAAGAAGGAGCGGATGGAGGGAGATGTTTGTTTTGAGAGTGGATGTCACAGCACTGACATCATTGTCTAAACTTTAAAACCACAGCCCTGACATAATCATCTAAATGTTAAACCTTAGCACTGACTTCATCATCTAAATGTTAAACCATAGGCCCTGACACAATTACCTGACATTTTCTTAATGTTAAAATATAACACTGACATCTTTGTCTAAATGTTAAACAAAAGACATGACACAATTTCTAAATGTTAAACCATAGCCGTGACACAATTTCTAAATGTTAAACTGTAGCCCTGAGATCATTGACTTAATGTTAAACCATAGCCCTGACATCATTGTCTAAATGTTAAACCCTAGCCCTGACATCATTGTCTAAATGTTAAACCCTAGCCCTGACATCATTTTCTAAACTTTAAACCATCACCCTGACAACATGACATCAGTTCACGGATCGCTGTTGTCGGTCTCAGCCTCACTGGTCGATAACTCCTATAACTTTCTTACATTTAGATGCAACTCCTGATGAACGCCTACTGCCAGTCTCAGCTCGGCCCCGAATATTCGATTCAGATTGGTGTGTACCATGAGCTTCACACGGTCGAGAAGATGGCCTACGGAATGCAGCTCATCACCATGCTGTGTCTGGGCTTTGCCATGGCTCTTGTCCCTGTCATGTACATATATGGGCTTATTTCTGAGAGGGCTGTAAGTCTGTAATCTAATTTTAATTTGCGGGGCTTATTTCTCTCCAAGGTTGTAGTTGTGTCATTTGTAAATTATTGAGCTTATTTCTGATAGGGGTGTGAGTCTGTCTTACACATTATAGAAAATGTGTTCACCCTTCTGACTTCCACCACCATCCATCCCAGTGTCGCTACAGCCCATGTAGGGCTTTGCCTGCCTCACCACTTCCCTCCATTCATACCTAAACTTACTGCCCCCTGCTCCCCTCCTCCAAATGTACAAATCCCTTCATAGCTTGGGCATCAGTTGTTTATTTTTAAATCCTTTATATTATATCAACTTCGCTTTTTTTCTCGTGGACCGCTTGCTGGCAAAATCTTTGGTCTGCTAATTGACCCACTTCTCATCAACCTATCAAGCTTAAACTTGGCACATAGACTCGTTGCGGATGACAACGCATTCTTTAAAATTTTCAGCCCATCCCCCCGACCCACACCCCAAAAGATCAGTTTTTCCTGTTTTTTCTAGGGGAAGATGAAGGAAATGTGATTTCACAAAAATAAAATTCCAGGTAACTGCTCTAAAAAAGATTATTTTTAAAAAATGTTGCAAGTGCGTTTTATTTTTCTTTCAAAGTTGGTGAAATAAATCTGGGATGTAAAAATGTACAGTTACGAGCCTTGAGTGGAAATAAGGGTGGGGGGGGGGGCGCGCGCACTAATTGGAATTGTTATAAAGTGCTTTACTTGAATGTATATTTTGTCAAATTCTCATCTCCACACCCCATTGCTCTCTATTAATTGTTATAATTCTGGGATGTAAAAATGTACAGTTACGAGCCTTGAGTGGAAATAAGGGTGGGGGGGGGGGCGCGCGCACTAATTGGAATTGTTATAAAGTGCTTTACTTGAATGTATATTTTGTCAAATTCTCAGCTCCACACCCCATTGCTCTCTATTACATGTTATAAAGGATTTATGGGCTTGTTCAATTAAGTTAGTTATTGAAGCTATAAGTTTGTGTTGGATCTATATCCTCTACTCTCATGACCAGGGCCTCACGATGGTCCGTAAACATCTCTACACTGTACAGATTTAGAAGATGTGTTCGTTAATTAATTTTTTTTAGCTAACATCCCTGCTTGTGTACATGACAAAAGCGTCCATGAAATTTCACTTTCAGCCTTAAACAGAGATCGCTGTTTGACATTAAGTAGTAGAGAGTAACATTAATGTATCTTAGCCTCAGCGAAAACAATTTGATGGGATCGTTAGAGAGTTTTAAAAAAGTAATCCCTATTTGAACACATTCTTTTGTATTGCAGACCGGAGCTAAACACTTGCAGGCTTTGAGTGGCGTTAATCCATTCGCCTACTGGTTGGGATCCTTCGCCTTTGATGCGCTCCTCTTAACCATCAACGCCGTCACCATCATCATAGCGTTCACGTACAATCCTGGGGTCTACATCAGCCAGGGAAGATGGTTGTTGACTTCATTTGTCTTGATGGCCTTCGTCATGGCCACCTTCCCGCATCTGTATGCCATTCAGGCCATCTTCAAAAGTCCAGCCAATGGCGTGCTCATCATACTGTCCTTCAATTTCTTTATAGGTAATGTCTGGTGTCTGTCTTATTTAGAGCTTGGTATCTGTAGTGTGACCTGTAAATTAGGCTTACCAGTCACACCAGTTTGGCTCACCAGTAACTCCAATTAGGCTCTCCAGAATGACACCAATTAAGCTCACCAGTCACACCCCAAATAGGCTCACCAGTCACACCAAATAGGCTCACCAGTCACACCAATAGGCTCACCAGTCACACCAATAGGCTCACCAGTCACACCAACTGATTCACCAGTCAAACAAAAAATGACACCAACTAGCCTCACCAGTTACACCAATGAGACTCACCAGTCACACCAAATAGGCTCACCAGTCACACCAAATAGGCTCACCAATCACACCAATTGATTCACCAGTCAAACAAAAAATGACACCAACTAGCCTCACCAGTTACACCAATGAGGCTCACCAGTCGCACCAAAATTACAACATTCTCACCAGTCACACCAATTAGGCTCACCAGTCACACCAGAATGATACCAATTAGGCTCACCAGTCACACCAAAATGACACCTATTAGGCTCACCAGTCACACCAAAATGACAACAATTAGGCTCACCAGTCACACCAGAATGACACCAATTAGGCTCACCAGTCACACCAAAATGACACCAATTAGGCTCACCAGTCACACCAGAATGACACCAATTAGGCTCACCAGTCACACCAGAATGACACCAATTAGGCTCACCAGTCACACCAGAATGACACCAATTAGGCTCACCAGTCACACCAGAATGACACCAATTAGGCTCACCAGTCACATCAAAGTAACCCGATCTACCCTTACATATTTGGACAATAGAGTAACCCCATCTACCATTACATGTTTGGGCAATAGAGTTACCCGATCTACCCTTATATCTGATAATAATAATCATCTTCAATCTGCTGATAATCATCTTTCAGGTATTATTGGTGGCATCGTGATGGTTTCCCTCAAAACGACTAGTCCAAACAACACCTACCTGACTGTGTTTCATTGGATCTTTGTATTCCTGTCACCAAACTACACGTTGATGGCCTGCCTTTTGTCATTTAGCCTTTTGTCGCAGATGTCGTATAAAGATGATGGTAAATTCTCACAATAGTTATAACTGGAGGTATCATTGTGGTGGAAAGGGGAGGAAACTATGTGTACTGTTCAATCTAACTATTAAAAGGCTAACTACTAGAAGCTAACTATCAGAAGCTAACTGCTAGAAGTTAACTATTAGAAGCTAACTACTAGAAGTTAACTATTAGAAGCTATTAGAAGCTAACTATTAGAAGCTAACTACTAGAAGTTAACTATTAGAAGCTAACTATTTTAAAAAATGGTAACTATTAGAAGTTAACTATTAGAAGCTAACTATTAGAAGTTAACTATTAGAAGTTAACTATTAGAAGTTAACTATTAGAAGTTAACTATTAGAAGTTAACTATTAGAAGCTAACTATTAGAAGTTAACTATTAGAAGCTAACTATTAGAAGCTAACTATTAGAAGTTAACTATTAGAAGTTAACTATTAGAAGTTAACTATTAGAAGTTAACTATTAGAAGTTAACTCTGATATACATACATTTATGATAGTTTGTCTGTCGAAAGGGGATCATGAACATTTTCAACATCGACTTGCTGCGGGAGCTGAATCTGTCGGTGTGTATGTATACATAGGGCATCCTTCCGTCTTTGCAAGACCATGGGTTAGCTATTGGCACTTCATCAAATGGCTTAGCAATGCTGATGTCGATCCTGGAATGTCAGTCTTGGCTGCACTACTCACAGGAAAATCTTGACTCATGGTTAAATTTGGCCTTCCATACCATAATGCTCTTTTTGTTGTAAGGGCTTCCTTTTGACCATCTTCTGCCTGTTTCGACTCCGTCATGCACTGCTATTCAGCAGCTGGAATGGTGGTCAGTGTTGATCTCCCATTCCTTGATTTCTATGTCGGCTTCCGTCCTGTTGTTCCCTTTTGCAAACGTTCTTAAATCGTAGCCGAGGCCGTCCAAAAAGTCTTGACTCCTCTATCACCTCTCCATAAAGTAGATCCTTTGGAATACTGTCGCCCTCCATTCCCCTTACATGCACGGCCTTGCCAGCTAAGGCACCTCTTTCTAAGAGCAGAAAATATGTACACCTTCGTATCAGGCACATTGTCCTGCCATCGATTTTGCAAAATTATTACCTATAAAATTATTACCTATTTGAAGTTCACTGTTAGAAGCTAATAGTAATATTGAGCCAGGTCTACTATTTAAGAAAACTATTAGAAGCTAATAGTAATATTAATAATAATAATAATAAAGTTTATTTGAAAAACACGCTTCATCCCCAAAAGCTCAAAGCGCGGTACAAAGTCAACCATATTAAAAAGAGAAATAAAAACTATCTAAAATTTACATTTAAAAACAGGCGCAACAATATAAAACTACATACGAGCATACCAAGTCAAAGTCTTTCATCCAGTTTCAACCATAAGCAACACAAGCCAATATACATGAACTGAAAAAGATGGTAGATAGCATCACCCCAGAAGGTGTTTGCGAAATAGATGTGTTTTTAAATCGGTTTTAAAGGACTCCAGTGTCTGGCTTTTTCTGAGAGCGACTGGAGGGGCGTTCCAAATTGTTGGGCCGGCAAATGCAAAAGTGCGCTTTCCGTAAGTCTCAAGGCGAACACACGGTATCGATATTTTGCCACTATCGGATGAGCGGAGTCTCTAGTGGGTACATAAGGCGTCATGAGTACTTTGAGATAAGATGGCACCAGCTCATGTAAGCAGTGGTAGCACAAAGTTGCAATTTTGTACTCTATGCGAGCGCGGACCGGCAGCCAGTGTAGCTCCCTCAGAAGTGTTTTAGCATGGTCGAATTTGCGTTTGCAAAGAACAATGCGAGCCGCATTATTCTGTGCTCTTTGAATTTTATCCAGGAGCGTAGCTGGGAGACCCTCCATTAGAGCATTGCATTAGTCCATGCGTGATAACACAAATGCAGACATCAGCCTCTTTGATGCATCTAACGTTAAGAAAGGTCTGATATGACTAATCCTGCGCAGCTCTAGGAAAATTGCCTTGCAAAGCATGTTAATATGATTTTCCATAGTAAGTATTCTGTATAAATAGACACCCAGGTCTCGCACTGTATGAGCAAACTCAATCTGCATACCTGAGAGAGTAAGTGATGTTGTGTGTTTTACAGATTTTTGTTTCTGAGCAGTGGCAATAGGGATCAGCTCAGTCTTTTCAACATTCAATTTGAGCTTGTTTATGGTCATCCAGTGCTTAACTGACTCCACTGTCTTCTGTGTCGTACTAAGAAGTTGAGGGAACTGAGAGGGGATCACAGATTGATGAAGTTGTGTATCGTCCGCGAACATGTGGTACAGCATGTCAAATTGCTTGATCACTGCACCCAGTGGCTGAACGTACATAGTGAAAAGCATCGGGCCTAGGACCGAGCCCTGGGGTACTCTGAATTCAATTATAGATTGCTTCGAGGTAAAGCCGTTTGAAATAACTGACTGGACCCGATTTGTCATATACGAGTGAAACCATCTTGAGCCAGGTCTACTATTTAAGAAAACTATTAGAAGCTAACTGTTGAAAGATAACAACTTGAAGCAAATTATTAGAATAATGACAATGAAAGACGTCAAGCTTAACGATAACTGGTCACTAAAAAATTGGACTGTCATCTGCTTTCAGTGTCCTTCTCTACGCAGCTAAAACGAGATACTTTGGGGGGTAGTCTCCTGGACCAGTTGATGGCATTTGGCGCAGTCTTCGTGGGATCCTGGATTGTGATTGCATTGACAGAATACCGGGTGGACAGGATCTTGTGGTAGGTGGTTCCTTCATTGAATGAATACCGGGTAGACAGGATCTTGTGGTAGGTGGTTCCTTCAATGAATGAATACCGGGTGGACAGGATCTTGTGGTAGGTGGTTCCTTCAATGAATGAATACCGGGTGGACAGGATCTTGTGGTAGGTGGTTCCTTCAATGAATGAATACCGGGTGGACAGGATCCTGTGGTAGGTGGTTCCTTCATTGAATGAATACCGTGTGGACAGGATCCTGTGGTAGGTGGTTCCTTCATTGACTGAACACCGTGTGGACAGGATCCTGTGGTAGGTGGGTCCTTCATTCAAAATATTACAGAGTAGGGATGGATATCAAAGCCTCTTTTTAGAAGTTTGGATTCGATTCGATAACAATCGATCACTTTGTCGCGCTTAAATTACAAATACGTGGAACCCCGCTATAACGCGATGATCGGGGTCCATAAGATCGGATCGCGTTAAAAGTGGGGTTGTTTACTTTCGTCCTTAGCACAGCAGAAATCCCTTTATAGTTCTACCGGAAGAAAGCCTCAATTTCAGCATTAATTTTGATACAAGTTTGAACGTGGTGCGTAAAGGGGCTCATTTTCTACGATATTTTGAAAAGCTATGATTTTTTTTGCTTTAAAAAATGACTTTTTAAGCAATGGATAAAATTTTCAAAGAACTTAGGCCTGATGGAGTAAATGAATTTCAAGTTTCGGGAGCCATGCTACAAACGCGTTATATCCGAATACGCATTATGGCGGGGCGCGTTATAGCGGGGTTCCACTGCATGTGCAAAAGGATGTTGGCCGGGGACGGGAGGATGAAAAAAAAAAGGGCTGGGATAAAGGATGATTGAAGAAAAATCATTTATGTTTACAACAAAATCATTTTGCAATTGAGTTTTCTAATTTTCTTGACAGTATAAGCATTTCTGGCTTAGGTAGTGAAGTGCCACATTCGTCAACAGTTTTCTAATAAGTACTCAGTCAGTCAGTGACGTAGAATTTTCTGGAGAGGGGCCAAACGAAGCATAAATCCAGGGCTAATTAAGGTTATGTAACGCACAGGGAGACATGATGCTTAATGTTTACCCTGACAGGTGGTCTGTCATCCCCCACCCCCATCCAATACCCCTCCCACCCAACGTTTGCCCCTTCCCTGGATCAACCCTAGATTCTGAATTTATCCCAAACTTTTTGGCAAGGGGCTCGCTGAGCCCTTCCCTAGACCCCTACCCCATTTTGCTTGAGAGCCATCGGTGCCCTCAATTTCTTGCCTCCCCTCCCCCTTTCCCGAAAACTAAAATGATATTATTGAAACCTTTTTTTAGTACCAAATAAATCCTATTGCAATCCTTATCCCTCCCTATGGACCCATTAGATGAGTTGCCATCCAGGGTTAATGAGTCCCATCCACTCAGGTTGCTGGGGTTGTTTTCGCTTGTCTGGGCTTTTGTTTGGGCTTGGATGCCAGTCCACAAGTTTGGCGTTGACCGCTCACCCACCCAGCTCATGACACCATCCAACTATCTGTACCTACCTTATTACCCCATTACATGACACAATCCAACTAGCTGTACGCACCTTATTGCCCCATTACATGACACCATCTAACTAGCTGTACCCACCTTATTGTCCCATTACATGACACCATCTAACTAGCTGTACCCACCTTATTGTCCCATTACATGATACCATCCAACTAGCTGTACCCACCTTATTGTCCCATTACATGACACCATCCAACTAGCTGTACCCACCTTATTGTCCCATTACATGACACCATCCAACTAGCTGTACCCACCTTATTACCCCACTACATGACACCATCCAACTAGCTGTACCCACCTTATTACCCCACTACATGACACCATCCAACTAGCTGTACGCACCTTAGTACCCCGTTACATGACACAACTTACCTCTTACCTACAGCAAGTGTATGTATAAGATCCTCTGCATTGTCAGACAGTTAATGAAAAACACTGATGCTTCATTAGGTACAGACTGTGCATGGATAGAGTCTGTAAATCAAACACAAGCAATAGCATCTCACGAGTTGAGAAGGGCCAGCTGCAAGAAGATGATGACGTACAGAGGGAAAGGGAGAGAATTCAAACCACCCCAATAGAGGACCTTTGCCGTGACAGTTAGTTTTGTTAAATACGAGATGTGTTAAGTTTAAATACCGAGATGTTAAGATTAAATACCGAGAGGTGTTAGGTTTAAATACCGAGATGTGTTAAGTTTAAATACAGAGTTGTGTTAAGTTTAAATACCGAGAGGTGTTAAGGTTTAAATACCATGATGTGTTAAGTTTAAATACTGAGATGTGTTAAGTTTAAATACCCATATGTGTTAAGTTTAAATACCGAGTTGTGTTAAGTTTAAATACCGAGATGTGTTAAGCTTAAATACCAAGATGTGTTAAGTACCAAACTGTATTTAATTGAAATACAGAAAAGTGTTTAGTTTAAATACCCAGATGTGTTAAGTTTAAATACAGAGTTGTGTTAAGTTTAAATACCGAGAGGTGTTAAGGTTTAAATACCATGATGTGTTAAGTTTAAATACTGAGATGTGTTAAGTTTAAATACCCATATGTGTTAAGTTTAAATACCGAGTTGTGTTAAGTTTAAATACCGAGATGTGTTAAGCTTAAATACCAAGATGTGTTAAGTACCAAACTGTATTTAATTGAAATACAGAAAAGTGTTTAGTTTAAATACCCAGATGTGTTTACTTTAAACACAGAGATGTGTCTCGTTTAAATAACGAGATGTCTTTAATTTAAGAGTACCAGAGGGTGTTCCCAGTTAACCAGGGCTGCAGACAAGGAGATCCACTATCAAGTATCCTGTTTAACATCACGCTAGAAAAGGTTATTAGAAGCTTACATATGAGCACCAGTGGAACCATTACAAACTACTTCCAAAGAGGTAGTACAGAACAACGCCCATCAGGAACTTCATATAGCCAGTCATTACAGTACCTGGCCTACGCAGATGATATAGCGCTTGTGGGCAGAAACAGAAATGACATAATCAAAGCATTCAGGGAACTTGAAATTACCTCAGTCAAAGCTGGTCTTGATGTAAATGAACCGAAGATAAAATATTTTTTAATGTCACGAAATTCCAAAGCTGATGACAACATCAATATAAACAACCACAAATTTGAGAGAGGGGCTACATTCAAATATCTAGGGGCAACTATAAACAAGCACAATGAGATAATGTCGGAGGTGAAAGAAAGGATACGTTCCTATTTCAGCCTACAAAAGCTACGGGGAAGTAAAAACCTCTCAACCACTATCATAAGACTAGAAATAACTTACACTAGTGAGACTTGGTCTTTTACCAAAAAAACAGAGAACCTGCTCAATACATGGGAGAGGAAAATTGTCAGGAAAATATACGGCCCTGTGATAGAAAATGATGTCTGGAGAATCCGTACAAACCAAGAGGTATATCAATGGTTCCGTACAAACCAAGAGGTATATCAATGGTACAAAGACCCACCCATAGTCACAACAATAAAAAAGACAGACTGCGCTGGGCAGGACATATGGAAAGGATGCCAGATTGTAGAGCAGCAAAAGTGATAGACAGGTACAAGCCTAGGGGCAGACGGCTCACCAGTCATCCGAGGCTGAGATAGATCGACGATTTAGAGAAGGATTTACACCAGTTGGGGGTTCGTGCATGGAAGCCATGGATCGTTCTGAATGGAAGGATGTGGTGGAGCAGGCCAGGGCCCTACATGGGCTGTAGCGCCACTGATGATGATGATGATTACTTAAGTTTAAATACCGAGATGTGTTTACTTTTAAATAAAATGGCAGGTTTTGCTAAAGACTATTATAGGGTTGCTCATATCATACCGTAAAAGGTTTGCTTTACTACCAAAGCTTTAGTTTTATTTAGTAAAGTGAGAGTTTTGTCAAGTACTGTGACAGTTTTATCTCTTACAGTGTATTGTGTATGTGACATCTACTGATCGCCACAATATGAATGTATACCATGTCTAATCTTTAGAGAAAACATCACCATATGAGTGTATTACATATCTCATCTTTAGAGACAGCATCACACTATGAATGTATGTCATGTCCAATCAAAACCTGATGAATGAAAATATTTACAGGTACAACTAATGTTCTATTCCAGACTCCATTGTGTTCAAGGACCTGCAGAAGAGGTTCAGGGTCAGGTGCCACTGCTTTGAAGCCGTCCGCTCCTCGAGCCTGGCACTGCCGGAGCACGAATGTTTAGGACTTCTGGGACAAAATGGCGCCGGAAAATCAACCACTTTTAAAATGCTAACAGGGGACCACATGGTGTCCGGGGGAGACGCCTTTGTCAAGGGTTACAGCATTAAATATAATATGAAGAAAGTAAGCCCTGGGGGATATTATCGCTAGGCCATACCCTTTACCTTCATGATTCATTTTATCTCTGGTGTTGTTGAACCGTTGATCCCTAACGTCATTCACAATTTATCCCTACTATCTTTACTAGTTATCCCTACTAGCATTCACCAGTTATCCATACTATCATTCACCAGTTATCCTTACTACCATTACCAGTTATCCCCTGCCATCATTCACCAGTTATCCATACCACCATTCACCAGCTATCCCCTACCATCATTCACCAGCTATCCATACTATCATTCACCAGTTATCCCTACTATTATTAGCAGTCATCCCTACTATCATTGCCCAAGTATCTGTATTATCATTGCCTGGTTATACCTAACTCTCATTCTATAGTCTTATCTTTACTTTCTTTATAACTATCCCTACCATCATTCACCTGTTATACTATACCTATTATCATTACCAGTTTTCCCTGCTATCATTTCACCAGTTATCCCTAATATCATTCACCATTCTCAACCTTACTATAACTATATTTTAGTTATCCCTGCTACCTTGCACCAGTTATCCCTACTATGATGCTCCAGTTATCCTACTATCATTCATCAGTTTTATCCTTATTGTTATTGTAATTTACAATGCATCCCTAAACTTTTTCACCAGTTATCCTAACTATCATTCATCAATCATACCTACTATTCTTGCCAAATAAACATTGGTATCATTGCATAGTTATCCCCACCATCATTCACAATGTATCCGTTCTAAAACACACTTTTTATCAGTCCCTACTTCCAGTCACTATAAACCCATCAGCCTATCATCATGCAAATTTTGGGATCTAGTATCATTCATAATATCTGTACTGTGATTCTAATGTTAACCCCCATTTATATCCACTCTCCAGATCCATGCCATGATGGGCTACTGCCCCCAGCATGATGCCCTACATGGCACACTTACGGGGACGGAGACCTTGTATCTCTACGGTAGACTGAGGGGCGTGCCTGAAGAAAGCTTGAAGCCAGTCACCGATGCCATCATTGACTTTGTAACGCTCCGGCCTCATGAAAACAAGCTGACTGTCAACTACAGGTAAATATTACCTATAAAAACTAGCTGTCAACTACAGGTAAATATTGCCTATAAAAACTAGCTGTCAACTACAGGTAAATACTGCCTATAAAAACTAGCTGTCAACTACAGGTAAATACTGCCTATAAAAACTAGCTGTCAACTACAGGTAAATACTGCCTATAAAAACTAGCTGACAACTACAGGTAAATACTGCCTATAAAAACTAGCTGTCAACTACAGGTAAATACTGCCTATAAAAACAATGATTGATTTGCGGAGGTGAGAAACCCGATTTTATAAGAACCAGCTATGAGAAAGCTTGAAGTATAAAACAGTGCAATGGACCTATCGCCTGAGAACCTTCTTGTTGTTCTGTCAGCCGAAGAAGGTTCTCAAACATGTGTACAAACCTAATTAAACGTACGACATTTTCTCATCCCCATGTCAGCGGCGGCAATAAAAGAAAGCTGTCTGTTGGGCTGTCCATCATCGGCGACCCCATGTTCATCATGTTAGATGAGCCCACGGCCGGGATGGACCCGGTGGCTCGGAGAGCGCTGTGGAAGGTTCTACACTTGATCAGAGCATCGGGCCGGACACTGGTGCTGACTTCTCACAGGTAAGTTGTGTAACAGGCGGGTTTCTTTTTGGTGACATTTTCCACCTACGGGTTAGTTAACATTCATATTAGTTTTGGCAGTATGCAGTTTGACACTGTTAACATTCAGTCTAGTAGTTAAGGTTAGCAGCTGTACACAGTTAACATTCAGTCTAGTAGTTAAGGTTAACAGTTGTACACAGATAACATTTAGTCTAGTAGTTAAGGTTAACAGTTGTACACAGTTAACATTCAGTCTAGTAGTTAGGGTTAACAGTTGTACACAGTTAACATTCAGTCTAGTAGTTAAGGTTAACAGTTGTACACAGTTAACATTCAGTCTAGTAGTTAAGGTTAGCAGTCGTACACAATTATAATAAAAATAGCTCCTGACTGTAAATGGTGGCCGTCCAGGATTTGGGGGGGGGGGGGGGGGTGGTTTAGCCTGGGGCAGTAGCACTAGTGTCAAAGATTGATACACACATACACAAACAGAAGTGTCAAAATTCGCCATAAACAAAGAAATTTATAAAAAGTGACAATTGTGCCAACTGCGCTGTCAATGAGGAATTTTAAGATGACAGAAAACTGTTATTCTGCTTCCCTCCTCTCCCCCCCCCCTTTTTTTTGGGGGGGTGGGGTTGTATCAATATAATATGTATACAAAAAAAGTCAAAATATCTATAACCCCCCACACACATACACTGTTGCATGTTTCCTTTTTTTTTTAAACCCCCCTTTGGCAGTGGTTCTCAACCTTCCTAATGCCGCGACCCTTTAATACAGTTCCTCATGTTGTAGCGGCCCCCAATCATAAATTTATTTACGTTGCTACGTCATAACTGTATATTATATGTGTTTTCCGATGGTCTAAGGCGACCCCTGGGAAAGGGTCATTCAACCCCCAAAGGGGTCGCGACCCACAGGTTGAGAACCGCTGCCCTATGGGTACGTATAATGAGCTTTCAAAAAAAACACAATTTTTTTTAACAACATAATTATGTTGTTGCAGTAAAAGAAATGTGTTCCAGGTTTTCAAGGAAGTTTGGCGAGCCCAGTGGCTCGCAAAATATGCGACACTTCACCTTGGGTAGCCCCGTTGCTCTTGGGCAGGGCTATATGAATGGGGCAATCCTTCATTTGCTAAAACGTGATAGCTCACTTGAAGAAATGTATTTGTTGGCATTTGACACAGCGTGCCTGGTGAACACCTAAGTTTGGCAAGGGCTCTGAAAGTATTTTTTTTTAAATTTTATGAACCACTAGTTTAGTCGAACAAAACTAACTAAATACGTCATGCATGTCGAACATACTAAAGGCCACCCCCCCCCCCCCNCCCATAAATTATGACACCCTATTTTAGATGATCCCCCCCCCCGCCCCCATTTTTCGGCAGAATTTTGTAACACAAATTAGATAAATGTACCATGCTTTAATTACACTTCATCACAATTACGTTGATACACAAGCACACACTTCCCCATAATGCCTTATGTCGTTTATGATGCGTAGGTACTGTGTGGATGGGCCCCTTACACAACCTTTGTTACTAAAAAAAACTCATGAAATGATGAAGTGCTTCTGGCTTGTGTTGTATCTCTACAATGATCATTTGAATTAACTCCACACATGACTTTAAGGCAAACCTAATCTACTGTAAAGCAGTACACATGAGAGATTACCAACTTGACATTTCTGCCCCCAGCATGGAAGAATGCGAGGCACTGTGCACTAGAATAGTGATTATGGCAAAGGGGAAAATTCTCTGCCTCGGGAGTCCCCAGCATCTCAAGAACAAGTACGCCCAGGGCTACACTGTCATCCTTCGGGCTCAGGTGGATGAACAGGGCAGAGCACAGCCCTTGGGTTATGCCAAGGATTTTATTGTTCAAACATTTCCCAAAACACAGGTGAGACATTGATGAGAGCAGGTGAGACTTTAATGTATACAGGGGATACATTGGTGAACACAGGTGAGAAATTGATGAACACAGGTGAGACATTGGTGAACACAGGTGAGACATTGATGAACACAGGTGAGATATTGGTGAACACAGGTGAGACATTGGTAAACACAGGTGAGACACTGATGAACACAGGTGAGACACTGATGAACACAGGGGAGACGTTGATGAACACAGGTGAGATGTTGTTGAACACAGATGAGACATTGGTGAATGCGTGAGGCATTGATAAACGCACAGGTGAGACTTTGATGAGCATAACTACTGAAATGAAAGCTTATATAGGTCTTCTACTCTTATCTTAGGAGTCCTAGTCCTATATAGGACTTCCTATCTACTCGCATTTCCATCTAGAAAATGATTATTTTACCGTAAATAATTAAAAGAATAAATATTTAAAAGTATGTGTACAGTATACTGCGAAAATCCTGCAAAAAATCTACAAAGGGCTGAGGACGCATAATGTGAATTAGGTAGTTATTACTGTATTTGATTTTTTATATATTTTTTGTAAATTGTTCATTTTCTACTAATTTACCAGGTATTTGCTGTCCAAGAAGCGTACGTTCACCTGCAAGTGCCAGACACTGTGCCCCTGTCCACGCTCTTCTCTAAACTTGAGTTTGCGAGGCAAACATATCAATTTCAATTCTACACTGTCCAACAAACGAGCTTGGAACAAGTTTTTCTCATGTTCATGAAGGATGTTTAGAGAATTTGCGTTTCATTACCAAGCAGCTGAATAGCAGAAAACATCACCAACGTTGCAATGTTATTAACAAAGTAAACACTGTGTGTGGATGTAATTGTTTTGCAGCGGATGTTACTTGGCCGAATTTTTTAAATTTCAACTGGGTCAGAACAGGAAACCGAAACTAAAATTTAATGTTTACAATGAAAGAACATTGTTGATGTATTAAGATGCCAACACTTTACTGTCACACACAAGGTTGACCTCAAGCCCATACATGCAATATAGTTTTTTCCCTTATAATGAATTGATACATGACCTAAAAAAAATGGAAAGATCAAAAGAAATAAATCCAATTTATTTAGAATTGTTAATGAATGTAAAATATACCGGTATATATATGTTTTTAAAAAAAACAACTTTAATCCATTTTTGGTGAGTCCTAATTTATTGATTTCAAAACCTGTCTAGAGTGGACATGTTTCAAATTATAAAACTACTGATCAAGTCTAGAGAAATGTTTTACTTTGTGATGTTAATCACTGTCCCAATTTATGAGTTATATCATTAAATAATAGTCTTTGTTCGAGAAATAAAAATAAAATAAACTGCTTTGTCATTAAGGTTTGACAATTTGTGACGTGGGGGGGGGGTATACATAAAACATAAAATCGACGGTGATGTTGAAATTTCTGTTGTAATGGATGTACTTTTATAAATTAAATTCAATAGTTTAATAGTAGGTGTGTTTTATATTAAATTTTAATTATTTTTTAAGTATTTAACAATTTTTATTTTGAAAATGAGACGTATAATATGAGAAAAAGAGGGAGGGATGAGATTTGTGACGGTTGTCTTAAAATAAATAGTGTGATGTACTTTATGGATGGCCCCTTATCGTGTCAAATTAAACTTTGTTTTAAAACTGGCTTTTTTTTTAATAGCACAGGATATACAACTGTTTCAAATATTCTGCAAAGAATGTCACATTTTAATTTGGCTATAGAAAATATTGAAAATGTTAACTAACATTTAAAATATAAAGACTTTAAATATGGCCTAATTATGTTTACTTTAGATGTTCTCAAGATACTTGCAAGGTTTCTGAATAAGTTTTGGAGACGTGTTTGACATGTAGCAAATTGAAACATATTTGAAATGTAGCAAATTGAACATATTTAAGGTTTTAATTTATAGGTGCCAAGTTTATTTATGTTATTTTTTTTAAATGGGCATCCTAATTTACGTCAGTGATTTCCAAAAAGGGGCGTACACTCCACGGGCAGAGGGAATTCAAAGATTATGGAGGGCATTCCTGTGAGCTAGGAAAAGCATTAATTTATCAAAAAGGGGGCAATGTTTGACAGGATATTTAATTTTTTTTAAGGATAACATCTACAACTATTGTTTCTTATATATTGCAATGCAAATTTATTTCACTGGTTGTAAGTTTTATCCTACAATGTTGAAATTCAATCTTCATGATGGTAGCCCTGATAACTTCTTAAAACTATTCCACAAAAGTGGGGAAGGGGACATTAAACTATTTTAAATAAGGAGATCAGATGGGGTGTGAACAAAAAACAAAAAAAAAGCTTTGGGAAACTCTGATTTAAAGTAAATGCCAATAAAATTAAGAAAGTTCATTAGCTTATAATTAAGTTTATTTTACATAGTTTGCAAAATATTTTAACATTTATTTTGATCTTTTTTTTTTCCCTCTTTACTTTAATAAAAATTAATTCTTTTGATTGTTTTTAAAGATACATAATTGGTTTTCAAATTATAATTATTATTTATTTGAATGGCCTCCCATGAATTTGGACGGACGATAGTAATCGTATATTGCCTGTTATACACGTGAAAGCCAACAATAAATATTCAAATTCAAGGTATTTGTCACAGTTTATTTCCACACATTTGACGAATCGGCCTTAAAAATGTAATAACTTTTTTTATAACTAAGTAATTGAGTTTTATTAATTTGTTTTTTCACTGAGATGAAAAAAAATATACAATTATAATATTATTTGGTAATGGTAGGCCTAAGTACTATTAAAAAAATGGTATGTTTACTTTTCTAGGACTCGGGGTCGACAGATGATAGAAGAAATTAAATCATTTTTTTTAATGGAGACGAAATATAAAAATAAATACAATTTTCAGTTTAACATTATAACATAAATGAATAAGAAGTAAGTATGCATATATGAAATGTCAGGAATTCTGTAACTGTTTACCGTCGAAACTTAAACGTCCGCTTAGGAACTTAATTGTATGAAGGAAGTTAATTGTATATTATTATTATTGACATTATCATTATTGTATTGCATATATTGGCTTTAAATTTTATTTAAAAGCTCCAGCCTAATTTACTACCCAATGACGCAATATAAATATCCAATAGTAAAAATTGACTAAAATACTAATAAATAAACTCAAACTTTAGACTAAATCAAATTTAAATTAATACTTATTACGGTACTTAAACCTATCTGAATCTGATCTTCTTCCACAATTTATAATTTATTTAGTTTATAATAATATAACATCTGGCCATGGCCATTAGTTTTAGATTTAGACATGATTAGACTTACTTTACTGACTTTACTAGACTTTAGACTCCAGTCTGAGTACTTTAGGCTTCTTTAACTTTAATCATAATTTAATTTCCTTCACTTTATGATTATGAATGACACTTCATTTTTCATTTTTAAATTGTTCGCAGCCATTATCATAACCAGGCATGATTGATTGATTAAGATTAATTATTTAATTAATCATTAATTAAATTAGACTCAACATTTGTGAATAAAAGAATACCGTATATTATGTTTAGCTTTATTAGGGGCCATCCATAAATGACGTCACGTTAATTTTGCTGATTTTTTACCCCCTCCCCCGAATTTTGACACAACCCCCCCCCCACCCCCAATCGTCACAAATCATCACAAAAAGTTTAATACATCCCTCAAAAAAACATTACAAATCTCTGCACCCCCCCCCC